TCCACGCTGACAGCATGGGGCCTGCCTGGGATTCTCTCTCACCCTCTCTCTGTCCCTCCCCTGCTCATGCAAGCACATGCACACATGCTTTATCTCTCTCAAAATAAATAAACTTTAAAAAATAACAATAAATAAATATTCCTCCTTCCCATGCTGCATATCTTTTGTTTCTTTCTCTTGCTTTATTGCTCTGGTTAAAACTCCCAGTTCTATGTTAAATAAGAATGCTAAGAGTAGACATCTTTGCCATGTTTTCAATCTTGGAGGAAAAGCATTCAGTCTTTCACCATTAAGTATAATGTTAGCTATAGGGTTTTTTGGTAGATTTTCTTTTTTTTTTAATTAAAAAAATTTTAATGTTTATTTGCTTTTTAAAAATTTTTTAAATGTTTATTTATTTTTGAGAGAGAGAGAGAGAGAGAGACAGAGCGTGAGTGGGGAAGGAGCAGAGAGAGAGGGAGACACAGAATCCAAAGCAGGCTCCAGGCTCTGAGCTGTCAGCACAGAGCCCGATGTGGGACTTGAACTCACAGATTGCAAGATCATGACGTGAGCCGAAGTCTGATGCTTAACCAACTGAGCCACCCAGGCTCCCCTAGATTTTATCAAGTTGAGGATGTGTCCCATCATTCCTAGTTTTCTGAGAGTTTTTATCACAAATGTGTATTGAATTTTGTGATATGCTTTTTCTGCACCAATTGAGAGGATAATGAGATTTTTAGACTGTTGATATGGTAGATTACATTCATTGGCTTTTTAACTTAGATATAATTTACAACATAATGCACACATTTAAAGTGTACAATTCCATGGCTTTTAAAATATTCACAGGATTTTAAACCATCCCCATGAATTCCAAAACATTCCATCACCCCAAGAAGAAACTCCGTACCTTTCAGCAGTCACTCCCTTTCTCCCTACTCCCTAGTCCCTGGCAGCTACTAATCTGCTTTCTGATTTTATGTATTTTCCTATTCCGGATATTCATATAAAAGGAATCATACAGTATGTGGCCTTTTGTGACTGACTTCTTTCACTTAGCAAAATGTTTTCAGGGTTCCTCTGTGTCATTCTTTTTTTTATGGCTGAATAATATTCTATGGGATGGATACAGCATATTTTGTTTATCCATTTATCAGCTGATAATATCTTGGTGGTTTCCATTTTTTGGCCATTATGAATAATGCTGTAATGAACATTCCTGGCAAGTTTTTGTGTGAACATATGTTTTCCATTGATGGATTTTAAATATTGAACCAGCTTTAAATAGCTGAAATAAATTCCATTTGGTGGTGATGTATGTATGCTTCTTTTTATATGTTGCTAGGTTTGATTTTATAAAATTTTGTTGAGATTTTTGTGTTTGTATTTATGAGAGATTTTGGTCTATAGTTTTATTTTGTTTTCTTTGTATTGTCTTTGTCTGGTTTTAGTATCTGTGCTGCCATAATAAAATGACTGTGAAGTATTCCTTCCTCTTCTATTTTTTGGAAGAGACTGCATAAAATTAGTCTTAATTCCTCTTTAAATATTTAGTAGATGGGGCGCCTGGGTGGCGCAGTCGGTTAAGCGTCCGACTTCAGCCAGGTCACGATCTCGCGGTCTGTGAGTTCAAGCCCCGCGTCAGGCTCTGGGCTGATGGCTCAGAGCCTGGAGCCTGTTTCCGATTCTGTGTCTCCCTCTCTCTCTGCCCCAACCCCGTTCATGCTCTGTCTCTCTCTGTCCCAAAAATAAATAAAAACGTTGAAAAGAAAAAAAAATTTTTTAAATATTTAGTAGAATTCTCCAGTGAAACCATCTGGTCCTGGAGATTTCATTTTCAGGAGTTTTTCAATTATGAATTCAATTTTCTTACCAAGAAACAGCCTCTTAACTAGAGAGAACAAACTGATAGTTAACAGAGGGGAGGTGGGTGGAGGAGGGGGGAAACAGGTAATGGAGATTAAGGAGTGACTTGTGATGAGTACCAGTGTTGTGTGGAAGTATTGAATCACTAAATTGTATACCTGAAGCTAATGTAACACTATATATTAAATAACTGGAATTTAAATGAGAACTTAAAAAAGTAAAAACAAAAAACAGGTTCACTTTTCTTAACCATTACAGGATATTTAAATTGTCTATTTCATATTGGTTGGTACTTTGTGATTTTTGAGGAATGAGTTCATTTGTTTTAAGTTGTCATGAACATTAACAATATTATATTCTTATCCTCTTCCTGGCTGCAGGATCTGTAGTGATGTCCACTGGTTCACTGTTGCAGTGCTGATATTGGTGATCTGTATCTTCTCTGTCAGTCTTGCTAAAGCTGTATCAATTTTATTTGGGTTTATTTTGCTCTTCTTTTTTTTTTTTTTAGATAGGCACTTAGATTTCTGATTTGAGACCTCTTCTCTTTTCTAACAAAGATTTGAGAACTTTTCTCTTTTCTAACAAAAGCATTTCATGCCATAAATTACTCGTTTCAGCTGTGTCCCACAAATTTTAATGTTGCGTTTTAGTTTTCATTCCATTTGATGTATTTTTTAACTTTTCCCTTGAGACTTCCTCATTGATCTATGGATTGTTTAGAAGAGTGTTATATAATTTCCATGTATTTCAAAATTTATTTATTCTATGCTATTGATTTCTAGTCTGATTCTATTATGGTCAGAGAGTATACTCTATATGATTTCAATTCTTCTAGATTTGTTGAGATTTTTTTCCACAGCCCAGGATATGTATGTGAAAGTTTGCATGGGCAGTTGGCAAAACATGTATTCTGCTGTTGTTGGGTAGAGTACTCTATAAATATCAATTAGATCCTCTTGGCTAACTGTATTATTTAGTTCTTTTACATTTTTTCTCATTTTTTTGGCTAACAGTTTTATCAATTGCTGAGAAAGGAGCATTGAAGGCCCCAACTATAATTGTGAATTTGTTTATTTCTCCTTTCAGCTTTATCAGGTTTTTTTGTTTTTCATATATTTTGAAGCTCTGTTGTTTGGTGCATGTACTTTGAGGAATGCTGTGTCATCTCAGTGGGTTGATCCTCGTATAAATAAATATTACCAGGTTCTGTGCTACAAGTGGGATCATCCCAGGCAGTTTGTGACCAAAGCATACCAATTCTCAAATTCGATATTGCCAATGTGCAAAACAAGTTTAAAAACGTTTTTAGTAGACTTTTTTTTAAGTTTATTTATTTTGAGATCGAGAGCATGAGCAGAGGAGGGGTGGAGAGAGACGGAGAGAGAGAGAATCCCAAGCAGGCTCCGCACTGTCAGCGTGGAGCCCCACACAGGGCTCAGACTCACAAACCATGAGATCATGACCCAAGTGGAAAACAAGAGTCAGACACTTAACTGACTAAGCCACCCAGGTATCCCAAAAGAATTTATTTTTTAAATCATTTTTAGGTTACCACAAAACTGAGCAGAAAGTACACCCTGATTCTACACACACATAGCTTCTCCCTCTACTACCCTGCATCAAAGTGGTTCATTTGTTACAACCAATGAACCTGCACTGACATATCATTATCTCCCAAAGCCATTAGCTCACATTAGAGTTCACTCTTGGTACTGTATATTTTATGGGTCTTGATAAATGTATAATGACATATATCCACTATTATAGTTACAAACAGAATAGTTTCACTGCCCTAAAAACCCACCTCTGTGCTCCTTCTATTTATTTCTTCCTTTTCCTTAATGCCTGGTACAACTGATCATTTCACTGTCTCCTTACAAACTGGAGGTTTTCAACCCAGCCATTTATACTAGTTAAAATGGGTTAACTGCTTTAACAAATGTACACAAAAATATATAATACTTCAAACTCAACAAAAACATTTTTCCTCTCACATAAGTCTAAAACACATATCTCTGATAGGAGGGCACCTCTCCTCCATGTGGTGATTCAGACTCCTCTCATCTTGTGGCTCTGACATCTTTAACATGTGGCTCCATGGGCATCACACTCATCTACATCACAGATGGGAAAGGAATGCGGAAGATAATGTGTGAGGGATTTCTAAGGGCTTGGAATGGAAATGGTATAAAACTCCTCCCAACTGCAGTAGAGCCCAGGAAATGTCGGCTAGCTATGTGCTCAGGAAGAAGAGAAAATGGTCTTAGTGAGCATCTCACCAGTCTCTGTCACAGGTATAAGGAACCTAAAGGGGTCCATGGACAGACTTTAGAGGTTTGTTTAAGCATTCAGAAGACATATACAAAATGTTGCCTTCAATTGCATTTTGCAAGGGAAAATTTCATTTTCCTAGGCAGAGGGACCAATTAGCCCTTTCTCAATTAGGAAAGTATGCTGGGAGAAGTCAAATTTAAACTGAGGCTTAACAATAGGTGGAGAGGTAGGAGGGTAAGATAGAAGGTAAGAGGAATCTAGGCAGAAAAACATCACAAACAGAGGCACAAAGATGGGAGATTATGTGTTTGAAAAATGGCCAAAAGCTCAGACTAGCTGAAGTATAGAGTTTATTTGGAAGAATATCCATTTAGTTATGCAAATTCATATGGCTCATCTATGTGCCAGGACCTAGAGTAGACACTGGCTCGGTAAGGGTGAAAACAGAGCAAGAGGGACAATTAAACAATGAGATATGAATAGCTGCTACGGATATGTAGGATGCCATGAGAGCCTGCTACAAGGACACTAATCTTACCCCTAGAAGATTAGAGGAAGTGATACATAGGTTGAACCCTGAAGGACAAGCACGTGTTAGCTAAGAGTGGGCAGAGGAGAGCCATATTTCAGGCCTGAAGGCATAATAAAGTAGGTATCATACACATAGAAATGGCTGCTGGAAGTCCTCTTTGGCAGAGGGGAAGAATGAAAGAGGAAGAATGGCATGAAATCAGGCTAAAGAGGTAGGCAGGACCCAGATATAAAAGACGCTATAAGTTATGTTAACAAATTAAGATGTTATTCTAAGGACAGCAAAGATTTTAAGCAGGGCAGTGGAAGAAGTAAACCTGAATTAAAATCATTTCAGCTGCAGCATGGCAAATGAATTGGAGGGCAGCAAAGACTGGATAGAAGAATATTGTTTGGGGACTATTGTGATAGTTCATGATGTAAATGATGGTGGCCTCGACTATGGGAATGGTGGTAAAAATCCAGAAAGATAGATGGATTTGAGGTAAAACCCACAGGAGTTGATCTTTACAGGGCATGCAGGTTAAGGGGAGGTCAAGAATGTCTACCAGGCTTTTGGTCAGAGGAACTGAGTAGATAGTGGTGATTTTGAGTATGAAGCTAAAAAGTGGCTTTTCACTGAGGTTTCAGTTTAGGAAGTGGAGCTTAAATTGGAGTCGAACTTGAATTGCCAAGTGGAGACATCGATAGAACTCAATGGAGAGGTCAGGAATCTGGAAATTGTCAACAAGGTAACAGAAATCTTGGGAATGGATAAGATTTTAGGTGGAGAGTATGGAGTAAGCAGAATGCAGCCTGAGACAGATCCTGGATGACTTACCCAAGGGAGTGATACGGACACGGAGCCTGCAGAAGACGAGGCAGGACTATGGAAGCAGGAAGGGAAGCAGAAAGCAGACCAAGAAACAAAGAGCTTTTAAGGAGCAGTCAGTGGTGTCAAATCCTGCCGTGGAAAGGTTAAGCTGAGGAAGGATAAACAGTGCTCATTGAATTCAGGGGCAGGGTGAGGATAATTTCAAGGAAACCGCAAGAACCCATGGGTGCACAGCAGTGTGCGGTGGAGAAGAACAGACAGGGATGCCTCGGTGGCTCAGTCAGTTAAGCATCTGACTTCAGCTCACGTCATGATCTCATGGTTGGTGAGTTCGAGCCCTGTGTGGGGCTCCACGCTGACAGTGCTTGTGAGCCTGCTTGGGATTCTCTCTCTCCGTCTCTCTCCACCCTCCTCTGCTCATGCTCTCGATCTCAAAATAAATTTTTTTTTTTTAATTAAAAAAAAACCCAGACAACTGTTGGAGCAGTGGATTTGGAGAAAAGAGTGGTGACAGGAAGGGGGATGCCATCAAGGAACACTTCTTGTTTGTTAATGTAGGAAAGATTTAAATGTGTTTAGGTAACAATTTTGAGCACTTGGAAGAATGACTGACCAGAGCGTGGAAGGCCTGGAATTTCAGGTAGGAGACTTGGCTCCTAGGCGATTAGTAGCCATTTCAAGCATGAGGACATGGTCATTGTCATGCTCTAAAAGACTTATTTTGGGGCTGGGTACTGCCACTCCCACGGGACGTCCTATCCTAAAGAAACTTATCCTGCCTTAAAATGAAGCAGATGTTTAGTTTTGGGTCCTAGATGAGGGTCTCAGTGGCATCTTTCAGTGTGCTTTTGTGGGCACTTTTGTGGCAGTCTTTAAGGAATTGCTGCAAAATTGCTGTCTGATAATCTGTGTTCTTGCCAGGGCCAACATCTTTGTTAAGCTTTGTTTAGTGTACAGTTGTTCCAACCTTAAAATCATTATAATTAGATACGTTTAAAAGGCTAGTTCAGGGGCGCCTGGGTGGCGCAGTCGGTTAAGCGTCCGACTTCACCCAGGTCACCATCTCGCGGTCCGTGAGTTCGAGCCCCGCGTCAGGCTCTGGGCTGATGGCTCGGAGCCTGGAGCCTGTTTCCGATTCTGTGTCTCCCTCTCTCTCTGCCCCTCCCCCGTTCATGCTCTGTCTCTCTCTGTCCCAAAAATAAATAAAAAAAGTTGAAAAAAAAAATTAAAAAAAAAAAAAAAAAAAAAAAAAAAAAAAAAAAAAGGCTAGTTCAGCAGTCAGCCTGTGAGTTGATAAAATGTAGCCAATTCTGTCGTTCACCTTTTGTCCTGAGATCCTTAAAGCAACTCTTCTGCCCCAGTGTATCAACCCACCTCATAAAGGCAGCAGAGGAATGAAAGAGAAACCCTACTCAGGGACAAATTAGTGTGTTGTGTGGCTGGGATAGAAAGGATTGGGTTGTTAAGTGAATTTAAATGAAAGAATCCCAAGCATATATTTAGAGCAGAAGCAAATCTTAAATTTGCTTCCTAAACAAAATTTAATACAAGACAAATTTAGACCCAAATGGGAAGGTCCGTGAGCTTCAATATCGCCTACCTTGTTCATAAATCACGATATTGATCAAGTATAAATTAATGCATGAATGCATACATTTGTGTATGGGAACTTATACCTCATTTATTACGTGAGAATGAAGCAGAAAGCAATTTTTATATTATGAACACCTAAGTTAAACCATTTAGCATTTTAAAAAATCTTAGCTGAGTGGACCTTCCCTGTATGAATCTATTCTTCACATCTCTCCCTCTCAGAAGAAAACTGTTTGGCAGAGGATCACTCCCGCTTTTGCTTTGGGTCCTTGGGAAGAGAACTTAGGACCCAGGCATGAGCATTACATGACAACTCACGGAAAGAGGTGGTGAAAGGAACTTCCGAGAATTTCATTTGTACTTCTACGTATTTTCTGCCAATGACCAACGTATTCTGGGAGTGGCCACTGCATATTTCGATTTTCACCCTTGATGAGATTTGCTTTGCTAGATGACCTACCCTTCAAATAATGATTATTGTTTAAACTGAAATATCAGACAGCAAATATACAGTATTTGTATATTATATTAAGTAAATGTTGAGTTATACGAGCTATTCACTGGTATATTATTAAGATGTTGTGAAATAATACGTCCTTGGGGCATATCTCACAAAGGGTGTAGGTGTAATAAATCAGTGAAAATTGTACCTAATTGGGAAGGTAGGGGAGAAAAAGATCACTTTTCAGTACAGTTAATGGCAAATTCCTTCTGTAAACCCAAAACCACACCCTAGATTAGTGTTCTCAACCCTGGCTGAGCTTCAGAAGAACCTGTGTGGCTTTTTAAAAACATGTCCACTCCAGATCTAGTAAATCCAAATACCCAGAGTTTGCCTCTCCCCGCTCTGCATTTATCTTTTTTTAAAGCCCTTCTTGACTTTGATGTACATCCAGGGGTGAAATCACTGCTCCAGAGCTTAGATCTACAAATAAGTTGTTACAGAAGCAACATACAGAATATGAAGTCTAGGGAAACCCTGGAGTAACAGGGACGTTTTAGTCTTAGCTAAAATTCTCTAGGCCTTTGATTGGAGGGGTGGGGTAAATTAGAGTAAGGATTGTGCAGGTAACCGTAAGGGATCAAACAAGAGAAAGAGAAGACATAGTTTATAGCTTTCTCTTGTACTGGCTTTGGAACATTCTAGACAACTTAGAAGAGTAGGTGCTCAATTAAAATTCATTCATAAGATCTGAGTTTGAAGCAAGATATCATAAATAAATCCAATGTAGAAAGGGCCCCAAGTTATAATTCAAAAAGCAAGAGGTCCAGAGGTCCTTGTACTTAGTACTTAAAATATGACTAATGTGAAGCGAACTGAACTGAGATATGCTAAGTGTATGCAAGAGTAAAATACACACCATTTTCAATGACTGAAAAAACTATAAAACAATTCACTAATAATTTTATATCGATTGTATGTTGAAATGACATTTTAAACATTGAATCAAGTCTACTATTTCTTCTCATTTTTTCTAATGGGGCCACTAGAAACCTTAAAATTACACTATGTTGCTCACATTATATCTCTTAGGGCAACGTGGGTTAAGATTGACCTGGGGAGACCCAACTGGTACCTGGGGTAGGGGTGGGGGTTATGGCATGGCCTAAGATGCTGGAAAGTAATGGGCTTGGTTTTTAACAAGCCATTTAAGAATAAACCTCTTAGAAAAGATAGCACGGTCCGGAATCACCCGGGCCATACTGTGGGAAGACGCTCTCGTCTAGGAGGAGGAAACAATGACTTAATTTCCTTGAAAAGCCCCAAAGATCGAAAGTTCGGCCCATCAAGGCTCCCGCAGTAACCCAACGGCCTCCTGGCACTGGAAGCCTGGCCAGCCAGGCGTGGGAGGGCCCTGTCCGGAGGGAGGAGCGCTCCCGGGTCGCTCAGGGAAGGCCCAGAAGCCACGCGGCTCAGTAAACCACCCCCACGGCTGGATAGGAGGACACTTCACTGGCCCCTCCTCCGATGACTCTCCCTAGGCCCTTACCCTGAAAGAAGGTAATCTCGTTCTCAACCGGGGGAAACAACGCCCACCGTGCCCACGACTACCCCACTCCAAGGCCGCTCACACAGTGCCCTAAAAGACCCGACCCTTGTGGGCAAGTGGGACGAGGAGAAAGGAAGAAACCTAGCTGTGCGCTGCAGCTGCACGCGCCTGCGCGAAAACCCCTGCTCGGCCCCAGTTTCAGCCTGTTACAGCGCCTTCGTCCCTCCTACTTTTCCCCGCCCCCTCCTGGGTACGTCACAATGAGTGACGTGTAAAGCGAACAATCACAGTCCCTCTCCTCGTGAGCCAGTAGGGACAGGGGAGGGAGGGGAGGGGGGAGGGGAGAGGACGGAAGGAAAAGGCTTCGGGGACTGGCTTGTCCCGGCCACCCAATCAGAGAGCTCTGGGGAGGAGTGGGGCGGGGCCCGAGAAGAGGGTGGGGAGTGGGGCTAGGGAAAGGCATTAGAAGGCTGCGGGGAGCAGAGGGCGGGCTCCCAGAGATTAAAAGCAGCCAATCAGAGCTCGCCGGCTTCTTTCGGAGAGCGGCGTGGGGCGTCGCCGCCGCCGCGCGCGCCGGGGGCTGGTTAAGGCCATGAAACAAAAGAAACCCTGAGAGGGGAGCCGCTGCCACCTCCAGCAGCCCGCCCCGCTGCCGTCCCCACCCACCCACCTAGTTACCTACCTCTGCCTCCTTCCTCTGCCCCTCCAC